CTTATAATTTCATGTAAACAAATCTATATTGCAATTCACACAGTGGAACTGAAAGTAACATGAGAGTGGTTTAATTTTGTTTGATACTTATAAGTGGAACAGTGTACATAGGAGCCTGAAGAATCCTACGTGAAGTGCTGCAGACAGCTGAGGTTCTCAACACCCACAGCTGCAATTTCAAGGCACAACAGAAGACCACAGTTAGGCAACTTCCCCTTTCTCTGACAAATGTACTCTAGCTTTTGAAAGAAAACCAGGAATCCATTCTGCTGTCAGCTTCTTTCAGTAATATTTCCTTGCCATATAAATGCTGATGCTTAGAATCAAATTCATTGCATATAAATAATATGTGCTTGGAATGTCCACAGAAGCTTCTACTCTTCTGTAGAGTTCTAGGTGGTGATAAAATGCAGACTCCTCACATGGAGCCACTGTGTCCTCTCTTAACATAGAAAAATATTGGTACTTTGGATGTCTGAAAATGAAGAGGAAAGAAGATAGTTTAGGGTACAGAGAGGACTGTTTAGTCTCTTCTGAAAAAAAAGTCTCTCTGTGATTCTTTTTAAAAATATCATGACATTTGAGGAGCAGATTCATGAGGAGGATCAGCTGTGGCAGCCTCTCACTTCTGCTCCCATAGAGGTTTATGTTATGACTTGTATCACTGTGGGAAAGATTACTACTCTGTTGACAGTAGTAAGTTGCAATGTCTTCAGCCTCCAGGCTGCTGATGGTGAGAGAATAATCTGCCCCAGACCCACTGCCACTGAACCTCGATGGGACCCCATCTGCCAAGCTATTAGTATAATAGATCAGGAGTTTAGGAGCTTTCCCTGGTTTCTGCTGGTACCAATTTAAATAATTGCTAATGCCCTGACTGGCCCGACAAGTGATGGTGACTCTGTCTCCCAGAGATGCAGACAGGGAGGATGGAGACTGGGTCATCTGGATGTCACATCTGGCACCTAGGAATGGAGACATAAGAAATATCCAAATAGTTAAGCATGATAAGAGAGGACCTCCCCGAAATTTCAGTCAACAATAATCACAGTGTAACAGTGAAATTCTCACTGTAGTCCTTCTTTACCTGGAAGCCATAGCAGCAGGATCCCAAGGAGCTGAGCAGGGGCCCTCATGTCCATGCTGAGTCCTGACTGCAGTGACAACTGTACAGAGTGTGACTGGTATATGAAGAAGTCCTCAAGACTGTGCATTGAGTGCATGCAAATCACTGGGAACCAGTTAGGGTGGGCACAGCTCCAAGGCTTGCTCATCTCAGTAACTGAGCACAAGTTGTGTGTCCCCAGATGCCCGAGATCAGTCCACACATATGCCTTCGGAGAATGCATTTCTTTCTTTTATTTTTTAAGTTTTAAAGTTTGGAGGTTTTTGAAATTTTTTACTGTATGTAAGCTCTTTTTTAATAATATATTTCAAATATATATTAGCGGTAATATAGACAAATATCTGACTATCAATAAATATACAACAGAGGACGGACTATTAATTTTTTAACTCACTCAAATAATTCCTATGGATTAAAAAATACTGTGTCAAGCCTGGCAGTGGTGGTGTATGACTTTAATCCCACACTTAGGAGGCAGAGTGTCAGCATGATCTACAGAGCAAGATAAAGGACAGACACCAAAACTACACAGAGAAACCCTGTCTCAAAAACCAAATATATATGTATATATACTGTAAGAACACACAGGCCTAAAAATAGAAGGTAGTATAAAATTTGACAACAGGACTAAAATAGCTTTTAAAGATAATTTGCTAAATTTTCTTGCATGCACTTATTATCTTTGAGGTAATTTCATAATATATCTCCTCTGAGCTCTCTTATCTCTCCATTCCCATTAGTCTCTTTTCTACAAAAATGTGATGTTTGAATCCAGTGGCAGCTTTAGGGAAGCTCTCTAAATACTCATGGATACTGACAGGTGCTCTACAGGGTCATTGAAGATGGGAGCTCTCACCTGGGAAATGAGATAAAATAAAATAATGCTGGTCTTAAGATATTAGCACCAGGCACATGCTGGTCCTCACTCTCTTCTTTACCTGGGAATCAGAGGTTGGCTGTGTGCTCTTTCTGTAAACCTCCCCAGTCTTTAAAAACAGGTCCTGCTTCCCTCATGTGGGCTCTGATTCCCTAAAGAGGCCCTGCCATGGTATTTGTCTCTGGTGCTCAGAATTAAATTCTTCCTGCAACACTCTACCATGCTATTTCCCTTGGTTTGTCTGTCCACAGCATGAATAATTGTTATAATAAATGTCTTAAACCTCAGTTATTCATCTTAGTCTACTCTAAAACCATATTGCCACACCCAAAACCTGAAAGTTCATTCATATAGAAAGTTTCATTTCTAATTTGTGTCAAATGCATGCATGTGATTATATATGTGTGTGTATACATGTATATATATGTATATATAATGTATATATATAATGCTAAAACAAATGAGATTAATCATGTGATAGTTGTTGTTCTGATATCTACTTAATTC